TAAATATGCTTTCATTGTCACTTCAACAAACCTGCATCCACGTTTTCAACAATTAAACCATTGTCATAACAATAAAGTACATAAAGTACAGGATACAGTTACTGAAACAGAAAGTAAGCAATGTTTTTAATAATATATGAGCTATGCTATCTTACTATGAAAGTATCAGTAGGAAAAGAAAGATGTGTGCTAAGGGAGTCAATGTAAAATTGTTTTACATCATTTGGCCAAAAACATTTTATAACTTTTTGGCATGTATGATGCTAAAAAGGCCATAAAGGTTATTAAGTGGTAAAATATTTTGAACATTGATTGGATATTAAGAAGTCTTCAGAATTACAGACTAGATATTAAAGGATTATAAAAATTATCAAGCTTACCTTTTCACCTGCAGTGCTGGCTGATATTTCTGAATGCATAGAAGTGATCACAAATCCAGATTCCCCACCTGTATTTTAAAGTGGTACAGACCACTCTATCATGTCAGTATTTACCATTCTGGAAAGACTATGATATGTCCCCAGAGAAGCAGGCCTGTAGGATTTTTCAGTACTGAGATCAAATACAGAAGACTCTGAAGGTGAAATCTAAGGCAAAGTTTACTAGAGTTAATCTCTGGTTTATGCATAACTCTTCTTGAAAAAGGTGTTGTTCAGCATTCCAGGCTGCTGTTTTTGCTTTGAAGAATAAACCAAACAAGCAGAGAGCTTTGATTTTAACATGTTTGTGGCCCAAGCATTTCTTGTAACAGACTGTCATCATTATTAATGTTTATTCCTATTTATAGGCAATCCTGCAAGAGAGTTCTTAGTTGACTCACAGCAAGAAATAACACACATTCATAGGGACAATAAATCCTAACCACATACTACAGAACAAACCTCACTGAACACAATAGGGCTTATTTATAACCAAGCATGCACAGGAGACATCATTAGTTATTCATTCGCTCTGAAATAATCAGCTTACACATTCAGAGCTACCTAATGATTTTAGAAACACAAAGTTTCCAAACAGCTACTTGAGATACTTT